ATCCTGCCAACTGTGTTCCAGTGATTGCAAAGTTGAACATGGCGGCCATTTTGCCTCGGAACTTTGCTGGGGCTATCTCTGCAATGTACATCTTTTTGAAAGTTAGTAAACGGCTATTCTGCCCATCTGGACTTGATGCGAAACTCACGGGAGAAACTGCTGAAGCAGCACCAATGCTTAAGCCAATGACGATCCTTGCAAAGATCATCTGAAGGACAGATTTCGGCGTTGTTTGTAACACAACACCGAGAATGTGAAGCGCAGCACTCAAATACATCACAGCTTTTCTTCCATGCTTGTCTGACAGAAGTACAAGAAGTCCTCCAAGTAAGGCACCAACAGGTGCCATTGCCATAATTGCTGCTTTCTGTGCCGTGCTAGTACCACCAAAGGCCTCATTGAGGTGAGGCAGAACGTGGCCAATTGTGCCAGTGTCAAAACCTATTATTGATCGTCCGGGGCAATTTTCTTCCCAGTGATGGGCTGGTGTTATCTTACCGAACAGAGCCCCTGCCAATGCTGCAACGATAGGGACAAACCAGCCATACCAGGACAGTTTAGTATCATCAATATCAATATCAACAGGTATCGGGCCTGTGGCACCATTAACACCTTCCAAGGTAGGTGTTTCTACAGCGGGTGTACCATAAGCTGATGGCCGCTGGATTTGACCCTCCCCGGGCTCTTTCATTTCCACATGCTCGGAGCCTGGGGCGTTGGAATCTCGCCTTCTCTCCGTTCTTGTCCATGGGGTTACCATCTCCACGTGTCTGATATCGTTTCGTAGGATACCGGTACGTAAATTCCGACTGTTGCTGAGGATGCGATGTTTGGGCGGGCTTGCGGTGCAACGGACAACAGCTGAAAATTCTGGAGTAGTGAGAAGACTCCGAGCCGATGGTAAGATCTCCACGTCCCCATGGGGGGATTCCATTAATTAAAGAGGCTGAATCCCCGCATTCTGAATGACAGCTGGATCTGGGGGAATTCGAAGCCCCATGGATTCATCAGTGTTGAATTGTCGATTGCTTGGAATTGTCCATTGTTTGGGTCCGATCAGTTTTGAAGCTCCATCTAGCTTGTGGGTCTGCAGTCTTGTGATATTCAAGGTGATATCATAATTGTCCCAAAGCTGCCAAAGTACCTAATTTTCTCGGTAATCAGAATGTGGGCTGGATCTCATACGAATTGGAGGTTTCTGGACTTTCCAATCACCGCAGCATCGCTCGAAGTCAAGCCTGGTTTTGTTTACGTCGTGTTGAAGATGTAACCACTGCCTCGCTTGGACAGCCACTTGATTGCCGTCGGGCTTTGACGGCAATTCGAATACAAAGACAGGTCAAGGTGGCCAGTCAGCTGCGAGATATTAGTCTTGTGCTCCATATAAACACAGGGTTTTCCCTCCCAAGCGTCCTAGCGAGGTCCAGACCCCGCACTCCAGCTCCACGCTTCCCCATATCACTAATTGCCCTAGCCAACCTGGAAGTTACACTTGCACGACATCATCTCGTCGCAAAATTCATCCAGCATCAGCCTCAACCCAATTTTGTGATTGCCATATCCCCTTATACTGTTTACAACATCCGGTTAGGCTGAGAGGAGCGTAGGGATGGTTGCAAGGAATCGATCTGGATGGTATGTGCTGCAGTCCGAGTGCCCCCTGACATCTCCTCCCCTTTCGTTCGGCTTCAGTTTGGCGAGTTGATGCTGACTTGTAACCGTAGTCAGGAATGCCGCGTCAAGCATGTGAAGTGTGAGTCTGCTCTTTATCTTTCTTTCAATCTATTCCCGCTTGGGAAAGCCCGAAATCGAGTTTTCTGAGTTGGTTATACTTCAATTCACACCCTTACCAACGTCTTCCAGGTGACAAACTCGAACCTATCTGTGGTCGATGTGCTGGGTCGGGTCGAAAATGCACTCGAGGCATGGTATTTCGAAGCCATAACAGTGAGATAGTTCATGCTTCCATGTCTACTTCGTTCTCAAAAGCTGACGCTTCACAGAAAAATATTCTAGTGATCACGAATGGGTAGCTCTGAAGTCAGTTGATGAATGTAAGTCGCCTCTTGTCTTCAGCCAAGAAATCCAGCAAGGGTGTTCCTCAATCTATCACCCTGTTGCCATGCCCAGGTACTCGTCCTGTATGGTTGTTTCACCGCGCTGTATCATGAATTCCATCGTCACCTACAATCCTCATTGTACATTACACTAAAAGAATCGACTGACATGATGAAACAGATCAATGGATCGATGAGAGTAGCAATCACATGGACAGTACTGGCGAATCTGCCTCGGAAGATGGGGATGAGCTACCTTGTAGTCTTTCGCGAGAGAACACTCCGATGCAATATACCGCACCTGTAATTTCACCTACCTCGTCAGGAGGATTCAGTTCCCGGCAAAACGGTTTCAATCACTCCCCATGGCCATCAAACTATGGCACTACACCAGAGACTGCTTTCAGTACTCCCCCATACGGAAATACGGAACCAGCCGTATCTGATGTCATCCACAAAGTTTTCTTACAGTCACCACAAGAAATGTCAAGAGGTAAGTTGTATTCTTTTTTTTTAAATTAGTCTGCGGCAATTAACCTGACCGTCTAGTTACACTAGAACAAGCGCTCCCTATACATACCGATGATTCCGTTTGGCCTCTCAAAGATGCTGCAGAAGCTCGTCTCTTCGGTCACTACGTTCTGGATCTTGCTAAATGGGTAAGTCGTTCGGCTACACTCATCCGAGACCCCGATCGAAATCTGACTCTTGGCGACAGCTCGACCTATGCGATCCAAATCAACATTTCCAAGTCGAGGTGCCGAAGCGGGCAGCAAAATGCCCTGTTTTGCTGAAGGCCATACTTGCTCTTTCAGCAAGACAACTGACCCTCACCAAGCGAACCAGCGAGTCCAATGAAATTGCAGCAACGCAGTATTACGGAGACTGCATTAACCTCCTCATTCCTATGCTAGACAACGTGGTCACAAGAGCTGACGAGACTTTGTTCGCAGCTTTGATCATTCTTCGGGTGCTGGAAGAGATTGATCGTGAGTTCCCTCGATATCATGCGATAATATGACTGATATATTCTAGTTCTCGAAACTGGCAAGCAAGGTGCAGCTCACATCGAAGGAATCCAGAGCTTTGTTCGCGAGCATGGCTCAAATGTCATGCAAGGTGGACTAAGCGAAGCAGCATTCTGGGTAGGCTTACGGCAGGAAATTTACGTCGCCACGATCAGTCAAAGAGCTGTTCAAATTGAAATTGGACATATTGATCGCTCTGTTGACCCCATTACAGATTTTGGCTGGGCAAATCGAGCTGTGGTGCATTTGGCTGACGTCCTGAATTGCTGCTTCAGGCCGAGAGGGGTCGATCCTGGACATTGGTCGAGACTTCAAGTTGAGAGTTATCGATGGCAGCATGACAAACCGGACTCTTTTACTCCTTACTACTACCGGGATGCAGACCGTAGCAAGGGAGAGGCTTTTCCCGAGATCTTGCATATACATCCTTGTCACAGTGCGCTCTCCATACCTCCTTCCGAAACTTCAATCACTTGCTAATTGCACTCCCAGTTATCGGAATCCAACATCACAAACTTGCGCAAATACTCCTCTCGACCTTTGACCCCAAGATTCCAAGGATAGGAAAGGGCCGTTACGATGCTGAGCATGCCATGCTTGTAAGTCCACCCCTCAACTTGCATCACATCTCATCTCCTCTTGACTTATACTGCACAGATTGGAGTTAAACAAAACCTGCGCGAGCTCTGTGGTATCGGACTTCATAATCGCTCTACTCCGCCTGGAATGTTCACGGCGTGTATGGGTATCGCAATGTGTAAGTGATGGAGTTCTCTTGGGTCATGTTTCGTGGCGCTGACTTGGCCAAAAAGGTGGTGATCGATTCGACGACGGATTAGAACAAGAAGCGCTTCTCAAGTTGTTAATTGAGACCGAAAAAGACCACGCACGTCCTACGGCAGCGATACAGAAACAAATTAAGGCAGCTTGGGAAGCGAACAGTCGAATGACGTGACTAGCACTTTTGATGCACCAGGCCTACTCTTTCGGCCTGATCTTGAAGTTGATTTTTGTTCTTTGAACTCCCTTTTGGATATTATTTACTGCGTGACTATCGATATTTGGCACTTGGGTGGCGTCTTGGATGCACATTTGGGTGGTAGGGTAAAGGTGAATGAGTTGGCGTTTGGAGCATGGAGCATTTTTGTAACAGCCCATGACAGGTCTGCGTATTGAATTTCAGGAAACTGGTATGTATTTTAACTTTGAAATGCCCGAGGTACGACTCAAAAACATTGCACAGCCCGGCGTGAACAAATTTCTGTGTCGCTCATCTGAAGTCTTATATTCAAATCAAATTGTTTCGTAGCCATCATATCAAGAGCACCTTGCTAGGGATTTTATCGCAGCTTGAAATGCGTAGTGATATTCATGCAGATGCTGGTGAACAGGGGACATCAATTTACTCGACCACCGAGCGATAGTCTTTAAAGTAATGTGCGCCTTAAAGAGGGGAAATCCAATAGACTTAAGTAATTGGATAGGGTCCCAGATCTTCTTCATTTGCTTGCTGGGCGCAGAAAGGAAGAGACTCGTGGATTTGGGAAAGGCGGAGTCGGTCCTCCACCTCACGAATACCTAGGCATGCATAGCATTGAGCTTCGGGCTAAGGTAGAGATTTTTTGGAGTATATATTTCCCAGTGATTCTTATTAAACTCTTGTCCCAAAGTGCATTTCTGAGGAGGGGGTCATTATGCTGGTTGACAAAAGGCAAGGGAATGCAGATTGGGCTTCAGGGGTGCGTGTACCAGAGGGCAGCATAGGTAGTTTTACAATTAGGTAGGGTCAGGTCAGTGTGCGATGTGGTAAGCGAGTCGTCGCTTGCCATAGTTTCCCGTAGGTCACCGTAGGCCACTCTAGTAAACTGTTCATAATTTTATTTAAGCGAATCCTCTGTATAGAACATCACAACGAGGCCTGATAGTTCAGTGGTAGAATTCTTGCTTTGGGAGTGTCTTTGATGCTACAAAGTTGTAAGAGGGTATGTCATCTAATATCACATGATATGTGTAGCAGCGCTAATAACCACGCCAGTCTCCGGTTCGATCCCGGATTAGGCCCGATCGTGTGACGTGGTCACGCGTCCCCAATATTTTTTATTTTTTTTGGTCGCTTCACCCTTTTCCGAAATTTTCCCAACCTTCGACCCCACGACGCGACTCCACTTCTGTCTCACCCACCGTCCACTCAGTAATGAAATCCAACCAAAGGAGAGTACACCAGAGGCATAAACAAGTTTTATTTCCTTATCCCCAAGTTTTCTAACTTCTTGTAAACCCTTTGAATAGCGAACGATTTAGATAACTCACTGTCCTTGTATCAAACAATGTTTTGTTCGGTATTGCCCTTGCCTTGGTAGGGGTCAGAAAGCTGACACTTAAATTTTTATCGCTGGCTAATATTCAGATCCGGATCCCTCATACTGTAGACGCGCAGTGGGGTGCCATAGTTCAACCGCTCTAATCCGGTACGCTGATTGTAAGGATACCGAGAACTCCGAATCTAACCTTACTGTGGTTGGTGCAAATACTCGAAGTCCTACCTCTCGAACAATTCGTACTCTTGAATGCGATAAATGCCAGCGATTAGGAGCTTGCATACAACTACATCGCGCCCACCCAATGTTCAACGATCAACGGGCTCTATCCCAGCATGAGGAATATCAACAGCCGAAAGTCTTCTCCTGAGAGAAAGGACGAGTTCGACGATCAGGACAGTGGCCATGGTGGTCACATCAAAAAGGAGAATCGGGAAATAACTGGAGATGAGGACAGTGAATGCGAGGACCTGGTCAGGGCGGCCGCCATTAATCTCACCATCGTCCTTAGAAATTGCCACATTGGGAATGTCTGATCTGAGGTTTGGTCCGTCGCTACTACTTTGTATTCTAGCTTTCATGCATTTCTGTTGGCCGAAAGGTCCTTCTGCCTTTTTGTCCTTTGATGGTCGTATTCTGTTGCTCTAAAGGGCCGAAGGGTCCAAATTATGTTTCCCTCCTGTTGGGCTTGCCTTTTTGTGTCCCTTCTCGTGGTGTCATGTCCCTGGACATGAGTCGTCTGCATATGGTGAAAAGTTCCTCTGCTCTCTTTTTCCTTTTAATATTATGACTTGTGGCTCTGAAAGGCCCGAATTGTCCTCGGGTTTTTTCCATTTCGCACAATGTAACATCTCTCCCTCTCTCTCCCTCTCTCTCAGGCTTGGCAGAGGCTTACTCAAACTTGATATTTAGGATGACTCAATCCTGTGGAGTCTTCGCTGCAAATTGCGTTCATTTTGGCAGCTACATCCCCAAGGCCCCCACATACAAAGCATGCTTCCTGGTAGCAAGATATAGCAAGTTATAAATGTCTCAATCCGCCTTTCCCAGAGCCAAAATTTCATGGCCTCCTACGGATCCATGCAATATCCAGCAATATGCTACCAGCGCTTTTCAACACCCATCCACGCGACATGTATTTGCGTCCATGCTTGTCCCCCTCGCAGCAGCTGCGTCCCTGACCCCATCAATGCTTCTCTAATGAGGTTCAAACCTTTTCAGCCCTCCGCGGAGTTGCATTGTATAGATCCTCTTTCTCGTCTTCACCGCCTTCCTCCTTGTCGGCGTCTGTCTTCTTGGTGCTGGTTGCTCCGTCGCATACCTCGTCATCCGTGTCGTCAAGTGTGATGGTCGTGATGGATTGCCACCTTGCCTGCTTGTTGGGTTTTCGTGGGGATGTGATCGTCGCTTCGGATTTCGAAATACCTTTTTTCCTTTTCTTTGTAGTCCTTTCAGCCTGTTGATCGTTCGTAGCTCTGTCATTTTCGGTTCCCGAGGTGCCTGACTTGTGTGGATTCGAAGCTTTCTAGACGGCCGGTTCGTCTCGCCTGTGGTTGCCTGCCAAAGACTTTGTCTGGCGTCCAACTTTAAACCTGTGAGTATACGAAATTTGGATGTGAGGGAGGATACCTACCGAAGTTTGGATGGACTTCAGGATGTCGACAATCTGGGATTGTGTTCGTCCAATCTCATCAACCTTGGTGAAGAGTTCCTTGACGTTGGCTTGCAGCTTCTCCGGAGTGGCCGTCGGTCTGGGGGTGCGTCCGTTTTGGGATGAGACGGGATGAATGGCTGGTGATGATGCCTCGAGATAGTCTAAGGGTCGTCGTTTGCTTCCCTGAAGCCCGACAATGTACTGAGATTGGTTGGGATAAGTATTCACCTTGGACTCAAAATTTATGACATCTTCTCGCAATCCCCGCCGCTCTTCTGGACGGTCAAGCCCAACCGGGGTCTCCATTGGTTGAAATGATGTGCGGAAGAAAGTGGACGAGCCTTGGGAAGGTGATAATGTTGTGGACTTCCAGGGATTGGGAAACCAAGAGATGAATGTCGTGGAAGAGGGGTGTGGAGGAGATGTGGAAAAATAATTAAAGGTCAGGTCCAGTTCTCACAAGTCTCCTGTACGCCTTTCGCAATATTGTGATATCTGGACTAAGGCATCAACAACCTCACCTTCAATTAAGCGAGGTCACGACATCACGAAGTTAGGCCGAGAGAGTCGAACTTTTAGAATGTATGTTTCCTTCCCTCCCCTTCCTCCCCCCTTTCTCCATCACCTTTCTCCCTCACTTCCCAGACAAGCAGCATTCCGCCACCCCCATCCAAATCACACCGCACACCTCCCAAAACTAAAACAAAGCACCATGGAATTCCTGCGACGGATGTTTGGTTTCGGACCAAGAGAGGAAGAGACCCAGCCCGTGCCTGGACATGAGCCAGCACGAATTCCGCGTCTGGGCCGCCCAGCAGGACGATTGCCCCGAGAGGGCGTACCTGTGCCTAGCGCCGATGCGCCTCCATTTCACGTTCTACAAGCCGACAGTGCTGCCACTATCGTGTACGGGGAGAACGAGGTCTACTGTGCGGTCCCAGTCCGAGGACCTGCGTTCAAGCCGAAAGGCTATCCAAAATCCCTGATCGCTAACCAGGTATTCATTTCCACCCGCGTGTGAAGAGAAACCAACCTAACAATTCTATAGCGCTCCGTGGTGCCAGCTCCTCGGTACGCCACATTCCGCAGCATCGCCCAACAGAACCGCCGTGATCCCGCGGACGGCCCGCTCGAGAAGGACACGTTCTGAAGGCATTCCAGCTGTACAACGGAAAATGGGAAATCCCATTGGCGTCCAAGCATTTAGTCGTAGGAGCCATTTTCATCGACATCAAGGCCACAAATGTACATATGGATATGGCAATTCCGAAAGGAATCCAACAACTTGGGATGGATACACTGGCGCACCAACTTGCAAAGCGGATGGCTGCTACCTATGCAACTAAGCAAATGGAATTCTGGATCAAGGAAGTGATGTTTCCCTTCACAGTGTAAGTCAGACACCTGAGAGCATATACATATCCCAGCTATGAGTAGATGCTGACTACAATTAGACATACCGTCCTCCAGTTATACCAAGATCCTGCGTTCCTGGCCGCTTTGAAATCGCAAAAGCCAGCAAAGCTAAAAGCATGGTTTGCAAAGACCTTAACCGATCCCAAAATAACCCATTGTCTTCGGAATCCCTGGGGGAAGGCAATTTCCGTCGACTTCTTCATGCACAAGGCAGTGCACTCAGATGCAGGAGAAGAGAGACTACGGGTAAAGCTGAGAAAGTGGGCGGTTGATTTGATATCATCCACATGCACCGATCTGTACCGCTACGGAATTCAGATGCGAGAGGGTGAGGAAAAGTCAGCCTGGTGCATTGGTCAGATCATGGCCAAGCTGAACGAATTCCCAATGTCGAAGGCAGCCGAGGGTCTGCACATCGATTGGCTGGCACTCCCTGCTTCTCAAGATTTTGGCAGAATCACGCGAGTTCGAACTACACGAGTGCAGGCAGATCATGAAGATATCGGAGATGATGATGACGCGAGTGACATTTTGGACTGGGCGGATAGCATGCCAGACCGGTAGAAGATTGATATGCAATGAGCTTGGGGAGATTTTTTGGGACAGTCAAGTCAATCTGATCTGAAAAGATCTTTTTCGTCAGAGCCTTGCCTCTCGGCGGAGTTATGGATATTTTGGATGTTTGGAGGAAATGGTGGCTAGCAACAGTGTGTTTATGAGACGATCTGGAAAGATTAACCTTTTTTTTCTTTACAATTTGTTTCTACGAGCAGCGGTCTCAATCTGGTGCATGGCATTGGGGGTGGGGGGTGTCAACAGTGTGCTCCGTACAGCAGGATCTTTTGATTGATCTGAAAAGATCTTTCTCTTTCTCTTTACTTTGCTTTGCCAATCTTTCAAATAAACAGCTAATAAGCCCAAAAATTCTCGGGGAAACATCTTCAAGGAGGTGTTCTTGAAAGAATGATATAGAGGTGAGGGGAAGCCGCGGGGTAGAAGACTACTTACTTGCAATGTTCCAAAATGTGTAGGAGAGTAAACCCCATCAAGCAGTCATCAATCGAAGCAGACTTTGAGAGCCACACGACGTATAGTTGTTGTTTAGAAAGCTCCTTCTCTGAGTTACCTATGGATGTGAAACTTAGAAATTGAGGGTTCTTGGACATCTGGACCCGGCTCTGGAACTGCCCAAGTGGTTCGCTTCGTCCCATCAGCAAGCTTTGGCGGGGAACAACGCGATTGACCTGCTTGCAACATTTCAACAGCATTGCTTACCTCCGAGTCAAATCATCATATGATCGAGCTACTCGTCACTTTGAGTTCTGAATAATCTGCCGAGTACTCAAAAAGTTCCAAAAATACCATTATTGAATTCCCAACTCCCCACCACAAATCCAAGTCTTCGGAAAAAATACCCATGCAGCTGCCC